TGTGTGCTTCGTTACAATGCATGGTTTGTTAGTTCGTCATAATACCCTATTCGTCATAATACCGCACTTCTCATTGATCTGGTGTTCCTAATCGGGTAATTTTTATACGATTCGAATCCTCTAATTGAGAGGAATTGAATGGTACCGAAATTGTCTGGTTTGAATCACCAGATCATGAGATATTTCAAATTCGTCAAAATACCCCACTTCGTTACAATACCCCAGTCTCCCTTATATTAAGAAATTTTCTTCTTTTTCTGCAATGTTTGTTTTTGTTATACTTAATATCTTTTTCTGCCTAATCTAAAAGATTTTTTAGTTTCTATCTTTTAGTTTTAAGTCCATTAACATTGTAATATACTATTCTGAATTTTTTTTTACTTGTTTGTTTTTACTCTTCTTTAAGTTTATTGAGTTTTCTTACTTTATTAGTTTCTTTCTTTTTCTTTTTGTTCTTTTTGCTAATGTTTTTGAGTGAATAAGAAGTTTTTTTTTTTTGTATTTTTTTATAGATACTTTTTTCATTTTACAAAAAGTTTGTAATCTTCTTATTCATGTTCATAATTTCAACTATAACACTTTTTAGAAGTGTTAAACAGGATTCTTTTGCTCTTCACTTATTTTTTCTAGGTTTTTTTAAAATTTTTTATAAACTAGTTTGATGTTAATCTATTTTTTTTCAGATGGTTAATATGTCTCTTTTGTTTTCTTTGTTGTCTTTATTGTTTTTATTTCCTTTCATATTTGCTATTTCTTTTTGTAGTTTTGTCTTTTATTAACTTCTTAATGTTCATCATTTGTGTTGCTTTCTTTTATTATTTTTGTTCTGTAAGGCAGCATATTCTTACTTTTTGATCTTTTTTCTTCAATTAATTTTTAGTATAGTGTATAATTGTAATATCTTATTGGTTTGCTACTTGCTTTCATAAGATCTGTATCATTTTCAAAAGTTATTACTGTTATGCTTCTTGGGTTTCTATTTCTGTTTAAAGAAATGTAAACTGCTTTTGTTTTTTTATTTCTAAGGCTTCTTAGTAATAATACTTCTGAAGTTTCTTTTACTAATTTTATTAATTTAAATGTATATCTTCTTTGTTTTTCTTTTTGTTTGTAATCTTTATAACTCTATATAATACATACTAGATTATTATTTCCAATTGATAAAGACCATGAATCTCTTTCTTTTTTCAAGTAGATGAATTTAATTATTGTTAAAGCTTTGAATTTGTTCTTTTGATCTTAACCACTTATGTGCTTCTTATATTTCTATACATATAGTTGATTTCTTTATTTTTTATGTCTGCTAGTAGGTCTTAGATCATTAAAAATTTGTTTGTCTCTTTCATTTTTACTATTTTTTTTTCTTTTCCTTTGTATATTTTGTAGAGTTCTTCAACTTTTTAGTTTTTCTTTAGTAAAACTGTTCTTGTTTAGTATTCAGTCTTCTTTTCTTTATAATTTGTATTTCTTTAATATTTTGTCTTTGCAATTTTTTAGTTGCTTTTTTTTCTATAATTGTAGTTGAAATTTATTTTTATCCATTTGCTATTTTTGTTACATTTTACAATATTAATTTGTAGTTAGTTGTTTATTAATCTGCAAGGTCATGTCAGTAAATGTTATCAAAGTAACCTTGTATATTGATATATAATATATTGTTGTTTAGAATCTATAGCATCTAGATTTTGAACAACCCAATTTTTTTTGGCCAGATTTACAGAGATTTACTAGCATTAGACAAATTTCGTCACTAATAACAATATGTGTCTAGATTTTGAAAAATTAATGTGGGCCAAAATGTTGATCTTCAGTTCTGTAAAATAGGGATCATTTTTAGTATAAAGAATCTGTATCTAGATTTTTTTGAAATACTAAAATTAATTTGGCCTAAATTATAAAATTATTTACTAAAATTATAGAAATCTAGACAATAGTAATAATTAGTAGCTAGATTTTTTGGAGGTCCTTTTTGTAGGCTGAAAGTATTAATCAGCTTAAATTAAAAAAATAAAGACCTTTTTGGTACAAATAAAATGTCACTCTAAAAATGTAATTTATGCAAACTTTTATTAGTATAAAGAATCAAGTAGCTCTATGAAACTATATGTTTTTTGACTTGTTCTATATTTTTATTAATGCCATAAAATCGATTAGATTAATAAAATTTGTGTAAAATGTGATTTTTATACTAACTGTAATTTAAAAACAACTAATTTACAAAGACAAGATGAAAAACGTTTCATCAAAAATTGAACTAATTTCATGAATATGAATCTGTTTAACTTGAAATTTAATATATGAATTCTTAAATGTCATCTGCACCAACTTTATTAATATTATATATAATACTTTTTTTAAATCAAGTGGTCAAATTAACAAAAATGTTTCTATAAACTTTAAAGAAGAAAATTTGTTAGTAGTTTTTAAATGAAAAAATACTATATCTTCATGAATTATTGATAAAACAAGCTCAAATTTTCAGAAAAAAATATTATACACTTACTTTATAAATTATCTTATTATACAATAGATGATTTAGAAGTAAAATAAAAAATGATGACTTCAATCAGTCATTATTTTTATTAAAGACACAAATTCATTTATAAAAAAAAATAAAAAATATTAATATCTTTATAAATATTAACTTTAAAAATCTGAAAATTCATATCCTAATAGATGAAAACATGTTTAACAAGTTTACTTAGAAATGTAAAATAGGTTTAGAATATCAATAATTAATCTGAAGCTGATCACTATTGATTATTTTCTTTAAAAAATTAGTTTTATACATTTTTAAAGAAAAAAATCATTGTTATTCACTGAATTTATATTTAACATTCTTAAAAATAAATATTTTAGTACTTTTTACTATGCTAAACAACTTTAATTAAGACCATAATTGTATTTATCTTAATAATATTTTATATAAATTATATTTATAATTTAACTATTCTTTTAAAATATCTATAATAAAATTATATAAATTTTTAAAATAGAATCAATATTTTATTCTCTATAATATAAAAAATTTTGATATTTTATTTTATATTATTTAGTTAGTTATTTATTAAATTTTTATTTAAATATTATATATATATTATAAATAAATTATTTTTTTATTAAAAAATATAAAAAAAATTACATATTATCAAAATTAATAAGTATATTAATCTGTTTCAAATTTTGTTTAATTAATTTAAAATGTAATAGTTGTTTTTGAATAAAGTAATTTGCTTATATTTCTTTACTAGTTTATGCAATCTAACAATTTCTTCTTCAATTTTATTTGGTTTAAAATAAATACAATCAAAATTTTTTTCATAACAATATTGATATTTTGTAAGATTATTATCTGATTGAATACATAATTTATATAGTTTTCAGCATTTCATACAATTTGTTCTTTCAGTGTGAGTCATGTTTTTACATATCAAATTATAAATATTTTCATATTTATATTTTTTTTTATACCTTTTATAGTTTATTATAATTTATATATTTTTATTTTATATCAAAAAATTTATAAATATAATCCAAGTTTATTAAAAGTATAAAAAAATATCTAATTACTAACAAAAGAACAAAATATTATAAATAAAATTGACAATCTTCAAATTGAGAATGAGAATATAAAAAATGAAAATGATAATATAAAAAATCAATTAATAAACAAAAATTTAAGTATTGAAATTCTTAATGCAAACAATATTAAATTAACAGAAACAAATAAACAACAAGAAATTACAATTACAATTCAGCAAGAACAACTAAAAGAAAAAGATTTATTAATACAAGAATATGAAAGAATTTTAAATAATATTTTTGAAAAACTTAATCTAACAGAAAATAAATCAACAAATACAACAACTTTAGCAGAAAGAGAATTTGATTTTGAACAAAATTAGTTCAATACAAAATGATAAAAAAAAAATTAAAGCATTATCAATTATGAATAGTGAACTGCTTGAAGAACTAAATTACTTTAAATATAGCAGTTTTAAAAATTTTTCTGATTCTGTAAATAATTATTTTTTAAACTTTGCAATTGGATTCTTAGTTGAAATAATTTTAGCATATTATTTAAATATAGTAAAAAATATATAGAATATTAAAGAACAAAAATTATAAAATGCGCCTATGGTATTGAACACTATACAAAATTTTATTAATAAAATTTAGAATTAGTGTGCAGTTTTAGAATAAAGGTGAGTTTTATATATTATAATGTAGATTATATATAAGGTACCGATTTCAGTTCTCGTGAGGTTTTCATGAATCTAAACATTTTTACTTAGAGTACCTGATCCCATTTACTTAGTATGTTTTTGAGAAATAGCACTTATGGTGTTCAGCACCATAGGTGCATTTTAGTAAACTTGTTAAAGAATTGCTTTATATAAAACAGTTGTTAAATTTATTATAAACCTTATATTAATACTTTGAAAGAAATATTTATTAGGCATTTCATTTATTATATATTATTATTTTACAACAAAATTTTTTTATAACATCGAAGTTGTTTTTATTATTTTTATTATTAATATTCTTATTATTGAATATATAAATTATTATACAAATATTATATTTATTATTCTACAGTACACGACACTTAAAGACTAAAATAAATTTAATAATTTTTAAAAACTAATAACTTATAATAGAAAAATCATACAAAAAAAAAAGCTGTCAAATTGTAGCTAATTCTATTTACTACAACTTACCAGCTTTTTTTAAAAAAAAACTTATTTATTTATGATTTATAACTGTTTAAAAAACCCACTTCATATATGCTTAATGACAAATGGGACAAAAAACATGACTTGGATCGGCCAATTAAATTTAATGTTACTCATACTCGCAATTTTATTGGTTGATCACAAGTCACGTATATACTTACAAGAATTATAAATTTCATATGATAACTAAATATCCTTGCAAAATTTTTATACTTATTCAAGAAAATAGTGTAAAAAAACTCCTTTAATATTAAAGGGCATATTAAATTATTCTCATGCCCCAACAACTTACCTGAGAAGAAAATGTGGGGCACGGATTTAAGAATTTAAAGTTGGGGCGTCTGGGATCTGAATTTTTTTTAATTTTTTTTTTTTTTTTTCATTTTGTTAAGTTTTTGTTTTCGGGTACCTTACATCAGAAAATTCAGGTACTTCTTATCAGAAATTATATGTAAAAAAATTTTTTTTTTTTTTCATTATTTGAAAAAACTAATCCGACCTTGTGAGAACCGTCACTAAAGTATGCCAAAGCTAAAAAATTACAAAACGATTTGGATGCTTCAAAAATATAACAATAAAAGGAGAGAGCAAGCCAAAAAAAGATAAAAGGAAGTTTCAGATATTTGAAGGGACAATTTTGCTAAAGACGACATCTGGGCAGAGGATTTTTTTGCTGAAGATATCTGTGAAGATGTCTTTGCTGAAAATGTCTTTAGCAAAGACATATTTGCTGAAAGTAATGAATTTGATGAAGAAAGTGAAAAAGAACTTGATAAAGAAGCAATGACAACCCCAACAATCATATAGAAGAAAGATAAAAAGAAAAATGCAAGAATAATTAAAGGATTACCGAAATCAATATATTATCGTAAGTTCAGTGCTTCTGGTACGCTTGCAAATGTCACCAAGAGAACCTGTCAAATTACTGACTTTTTTAGGATTGCGAGGTTGGTAATATGTCTTTGGTTTTTGCGTAATTAGTATATGTAAAAGGTTCTAATTATTGTTATTATCATTAAGTGAGTTGCCCAGAAGGCTTTCAATACCTTTCATGTTTTCTATAGTTCCTATGACTTCCTAGACAAGTGAATTTTTCAACAGGGCTACACCCTTAGTGTTTCTTTCGAATGAAAATGTGAATGATGAATTTATGCTTCATGAAAGAATCAAACAACTTAAGGAAGACCTTACAAAGAATCAAAAAAATTTAACAACTATTGAATATAATAAACGACGAGCGGTCTATGAATATTTGGTGCGATTAGATAGCAGTGATGGCAAGATAAAAGCAAGTAATGAAGCTGCGTGTGTTGTCTGTATCTCTCCAAAACAATATTTATCCCAGAAGATTCACTTTTTGGCAGAATTTTATTTATACTATAAATCATTTCCAATTACACAATATGGTCAACACCAAAAATACCATCAACTTATTGATGACGAAGACATTGCTTTGCAGTATAAAAAATGGATATGTAAGGAATTGGAAGCAAATAGAATTAGTCCAACTGGTTTTATGCAGTATGTAAATGATTATATTTTACCAGAGTGCATAGGAGGGTTTCAAAAAAAAATTTGTTTGCAAACAGTGAAAAGATGGTTGGATATTTTAGGATGTAAATGTAGGGAATATAAAAAGAGGATGTATTTTGATGGACATGAGTTAGAGGATGTTGTAGCATATCGAAGTGTGTTTTTAGATAGGTTAAGAACATTAGAGCAGAGAATAGCAACATATAAGGGAGAATCAATGATAAAAGTTTTACCAATACTTAATGAAAGGGAACAAGAGTTAGTTTTTGTAACCCATGATGAATGTATATTTTATTCAAATGATAGAAAAAAAAGAATTTGGGTACATGATGTTGAGATGCCTTTACAAAAAAAAGGAAATGGAAGGTCAATAATAGTAAGTGAATTTCTAACAGAAGAATGTGGTCAGTTAAAATTGACTGATAGGAAGGTAGAAATGTATCCAGATGTTCTTGCAGAGGCTCGTTGTTATTTCATGCCTAGTAAAAACCAAGAAAGCTATTGAACAGTTGACTATTTATTAGACCAAATAAGAAATAAAGTAATCCCTATATTTGAAGCAAAGTTTCTCAATGCGACTGCCGTCTTTGCCTTTGATAACAGCACCAACCATGTGGCATATGCAAAGGATGCCCTTATCATATCAAGAATGAATTTAGGACCTGGGAAAACCAACCAGTAATGCGATCAACAACTTTTTTTGATTCAGATGAAAATAAAAAAATACAGCAAATAGTTTTTGGAGAAAATTATGAGGATCCGACTATGAGAGGAAAGCTGAAAGGGTTAAGATTAGTATTGAAAGAAAGGAGACTTTGGAAAAAAGAATTGCATTTAGAATGCAAGGTGTGTAAGAATAAAAAATTGGCAAATGATCCTCTATATGTAAATTGTTGTGCAAGAAAGATTATGGCTTCTCAACTGGACTTTCTTGCACAAAAGTCAGCCATTGTAGAATTAATAGAGAATGCTGACCATTTGTGTGTTTTTTATCTGAAATATCACTGTAAACTTAATTTCATTAAAATGTATTGGGGTGCAGCCAAATTCTATACAAGAAACCACTGTGATTACTCATGGGCCGATTTACAAAAAACTGTTCTACAGACACTTGACTTCATTAACATTATTACAATCAGAAGATTTGCTAGAAAGTCCTGATAATATATGGACCTGTATCGTGAAGGACTGACAGAAAAATTGGCTGAATATGTGTGTAGGAAGTTTAGGTCGCATTGAAGAGTTTCCCAGAGTAAATTGGCATCTTTTATATAAGAGAATATCGATCGTATCGATTCGTAAAGACTTTTTTTTTTTTTTAAAAAAAAAAAATTTGTTTTAAACAGTATATGCCACTCTACTCTTTTCTAGATCTCAGTAAATACCAACAGAATATTGGTTAATTCAGACATTCCAGCAAAATTTTTTTGCAAACCTTTTTTTGTATTTTTTATTTTTTTTTTTTTTGCAATTTTTTTTTTTTTTTTTTGCAATTGTTTTTTTTTTTTTGTTATTTTTTTTTGCAAAATCTTTTTTTTTGCAAATTGTTTTTTTTATTCTTTTTACATCCTTTATTTTTTCTTTTATTTTTTCACTCCTTTGTGAAGAAAACATATTATGCTTTTTCAATCAGATATTGGCAATTAATTATACAAAGATAGACAAGTAGTTATAAAAAGATCTGTATTTTCATTATGGAATATGGGATTAATAAAATGAGATTAATAAACTAAATCACTCATTTATCACTTTTTGGTTATTTGGAAGTTGCAATGTTTTATGTTATTTAAAAGTTGCTGTGAATTTTTGGGAATGGGCTACATATCGTAATTCTTATTTGTGCTTGGGTGTATAAAAATTCAGGAACCACTGTAGAGTGCTGTGGTTAGTTGACAACTAATCAACTAAACTTTTTAGACACCAACTAATCGATTAATCGATTAATTGACTAATCGATTAGTTGCAAAGAATCGATTGAAAAATTATTTATTTACTTAATGAATTAGTTGCAACTAATCGATTAATCGATTAATCGATCAGTTGCAATTAATCAATTAGTTGCAACCTGGTATGTGATTTTGTTTGGTCACGTGGTATTGCCAAAATGTATATAAAATTGAGTTTTAAAGCAATTTTAATTTGTAGGTCTAAAATGGGACAATGTCATGTGATTTTAGCCTTTAAGTGTTATGCACTGTAGCATAATAAAAATTAATAAATTCTAAAACAATCTACTATTAAATAATTTATATTATATTTTCTAAAAGTTTATTGGCAATTTTCTTTTAGTATTTCACAGTTATTACAGAATTTTTTATTTATTAAATCTTGTCAAAGTGTAAATAGTAATACTATAATATTATTAATTTTTGTTACATTATTAATTTCTTTTGTTTCTGATATTTAAAAAAAAAAAATAATAGCTATTTAATAATTATTTATATAAACATATATATAAAGAAAAATAAAAACTTTATCATTAGCAAAAACTTTAAAGGTCGTAAACACTATAATGGCAGATGAAACAAATCAGTTATTCACAAAGTTTCATTTGTGCTTCTAATGTATTGAACTTCAATTATTCAAAACAGAGAAAGCAAAAAGTTTTTGTTCTAACTAGTATAAATAATTATTTAAATTTTTTTAAAAAAAAACATAAAAAAAATACTAACTTTTTTAAAAAAAATTATATATGATAGAAAATGTATATGATGTTTTTTTATAAAACAAAAAAGATTATCTTAAAAATAAATAAACAGATCAAATTTTTTGGTTTATTATTAAGTCACATGAATAAAAATTATTTTTAGCTTTATTAAAAATATATAAACTGTTATAAATAATTATGATTAACAATATATTATTATTTTAAAATTATTTATATTATATTATTTTAAAACTATTTATATTATGCTATTTTAAATTATTTATATTATACTATTCTAAATTATTTATATTATATATTCTAATTTATTTATTATATATTAATTTATATGTAAATAAATATATACTATTATGTTATTATAATTTTATAATAATATTTTATATTATAAACTAATTTTAAGAAAAAAAAAAAAACTCCCCTCTGTAGATCTTCTGACCAAAATTTACAGGAAACAAAAACACAAGATAACACTAAAACACACAATTAAAAAGTACTTAGAGCACTAAAGAAAAGATAAGAAAACACAGAA